CAAATCACTGACACTATCAAGTTTAGTACTAATTATCTGCTAATCCAATAGCCTAATGGCCGAGCACCCTTAATCAAGTTTGTAGAGCATCAGAAGATGAAGAATTTTGCTTCAAGGCCCATAGCCCAGTTCGGAGCAGAGCTGGCCCAAAAACGGACCCCAAGTCGGGCACAGAGACGCACGCCACGTGTTCGTTGTTTTGTCTCCGTGGCAGCCATGCAACAGAGCGCGCACTCCATTGCCGCCGCGCGTCCCGCCTCCGCGCCACGCGCTGCCCTGCCCCTGCGCCTCCAAATGCGAACGCCCGAGCTGCCCGAGCACTCACTCGCCTCCCCACTCTCCTTCCCTCGCTCTCTGGTGCTGCGCGCGCTCCGGAACGCGGCCACCATGGTTGCCGCCGCGAGCTCGAGTTTGGCCGCTGCCGTTCTCCCACCTCCGAGCGCTTCGCAGCCCAACAGCCACCGCCACTATCTTCTCCTTGCCTTGCTCCATCTCGCGTGCACGCTCGCCCAAGCCATCGGTCGCCGTATCGCCGTCGCCACCGGAGGACAGCAGCCGCCGCCGCTGCAGGCCGCCGGCGTGCGTGGCCAGGCCGCGTCGGGCCTCCTCGGAGCAAGCTTCGGCCACCTACGGGTGCGCGTGGACCCACCAGTGCTCCCCCGCCCCTCAGCCGCCGACGCCATGGCCTCCTCCGGCCGGAGCAGCGAGCTCCGACGGCCTCCCCTGCTCAAATCCCGTCAGGGACCTCCTACAAGAATTCGACGAACTTCAGGGTCCTAACTGCGAAGTCAGTGACTCATGTGAATAGTACCGTAAGGACTGGTTTGTAATTATTTTGCAGAAACTTTGGAAATTCATAGTAAATCGTAGAAAATTCGTAAAATAGTAAATGAGGACTTTTTGGAATCCTTGTGAAATTGTCTATGCAGTGGATCTATAATATGGCATGTTTTAGTTTAAATATTTTGCGGTAAAAATAGAATTGTGTAGTAAGGTTGTAATGCTAGTTGAATTTGTTATTTTTCATAACTGTAGATCTAGGGCTCCAAATGAAGTGAAATTTTTGTGGCATGCTACTCATGTGATAGTTGATGTGTGGTAAAAATTTCATGAGTATTGGATGAAGTATGAGTGAGTTATTGGTTTATCTTGCTCTCACATGAATTCTTGCTTTAGCAACTTGTCTTTTTCGTAGAGGTTGCTATACATATCCAAATGGAGTGAAATTTATACAGTAGACTATTAAGAGGATATGTGAGCCACTGTAATTTTTGTAGAAGTTATTGTGCACTTTTGGTATATGTTCATTAAGTCACCTTATTATCTAAAATAAATTAAGAAATGCATTAAAAGAATTTATTTGGTCATGGACACTAGGTTTTCTGGTGTTCTTTAGTCATGTGTGACATGTTGGTAAAGTTGGTTTTGCCTAATTATGTATTTGCAACATAAGTTAATAATTATTTTCTTGCCGATGTGGTTTATGGATAGATCTGGGAACTTAGCAAAGTTCTTCATGATAATGTGCTTTGTTGTGAAACTTGTTTATACAAAAGTTGTAGATGATTCATGTATCTAGCTTCTATTAAAAAATTGGTGTCATTTGGCCAAGTAGTTTAAGAGTTATAGCTGTTTAAAGTTGGGTTTCAGAAATGACTGCTTTCTGTCAATTGTATAACCAGTTTCTGTAAATGAGTATATTTGACTTAGTTAACTTGAGAATCATGCTAAGATGATTAAAGATGAATTGTAGAAAATTTCATAAGCTTTCCATAATGTCTTCTTGCAAGTCATTTGGATTTGTGTAACTCAGTTATAGCTAAATCTTGTAGCTGCTGTTTGCATGTCCAGAAATTGGCAGATTCCAATTATAGTGCTTGCTTGTATATTGTTAAGTGTGACGTATGCCTTGAATGATGACTGAGTTAGAGCACTTGAGATCTGGGGAAACTTGTGTCATGATTGGTGTTGTCGTCTTCTTTGCCATCTTAGCATGATAGATTGTGTGATGTTAAGTTAAGCAAATAAAGTACTTAAGTGTGTTTAGTGTAAGCGATGCTTGTCTTGCTTGCTATTTGTGATGCGTCTCATGGTACTATTCTTCATATTCATGCACTTGCATATTGCATCTCATCTAGGTATGCGCTAGATGAACCACGTGAAGGACGTGATGTTGGAGCCAAACCGAAGACAATGTTTGATGGATCTATCCGAAGATGGAAGGACTAAGCAAGTGTTAGGACCTATGATGCCACCAGGATGGTGCAAGCTAATGAAGCCCGACTTGTGTCGGATCGGCAAGCCCGGAGCATTATAAGTCTCTAATTTATAAAAGCAATTCTTTCTATATATGAGTTATATATTGTTGCATTAAGTTGTAGGAGTTGATCGAAACCGTTGATGCATTTATTACTATCCTTGCCTACCTTATTACCTTTTTACCTGTTAGGTCGGGGATCGAATAAGCGCTTAGCCTTGCTTAGACCGGTAGCGATCGGTGATATCCGATCACCTACATTATAGGTGGTTCTTGGAAGAATTTAGCTATGGAAAGAATGATATCCTGGAAGTAACCATGTGTGATGGATAATTGGAGACCGGACGGAAAAGTTGGAGGCAACGAGATGAGGTTACGGGGTCTTTGTTAGTTTCCGTCGTGTCGATTAAGGACCGACCGTTGTTGGCCCTCGAGTCATGTTGAACGCATGCCTTACATTTAGCTGGCGGATAAAGTACCTTCCGACCGCTGAAAGTGGGAGATTTTTCGGGCCGAGTAGATTGCCCGCATGCCAGACCGTGTCGAAGCAGGTGTGGTAGGACACGGGCGGGATGATAAGACCAAAGTCAAGTCGGTCGGCCCCGGTACATGTGGTTCTGGCAAACTCGAGATACTGAAAAGTTGACTCGGTGATCAATATCTCACTTTAGCGGGTGAGTGAGGTTTGTGTAAGGAATAAATCACCAGCTGGTTAGGAATCGATTCGAATCGCCATCGCTCCTGGATAGTGAGCACTTGACTCGAGTTACTTCATCGTAGTAATTCTTATGGAACAATGATGGTTATCTGGATGGTATGGGATATGCTAAATCTAAATTGGTAATTGGATGTTATTGGTTAATCAAGTGATTGCTATAGTACAGGTGCTTACCTAGATGGATAGGCCATAATAAAGATAATGCAAAGTACTTAAAATGGTTTCTTCATGATAGCTTATGCTTTTTGCAAACAAGTCACCTAGCCCATTAAAGAAAGCCTTGCATGATCCTTGGTGTCATTTGTTTTGGTTTCAAGACGGTAAGTCCACATTGAGTACATTCAGTACTGGGGTTTATCCCACCTTATTTGCGGTGAAGTTCTCGAACTGTTGATGATGGTGGCTAACCGTCAAGTGGGCTCGGTGATTCTATATTGACTTCTCATCTATATGCTTTTGTCGGATGATGTCACTATGCTAGCAATATATTTGGAACTTATATTAATGTAATCATTTGAAAACTATGTTGTTTTCACTAAGCGGTTTTGAAACCCCAAACTTGTACTATTATTTGTTAACCCCTTTGTAATATTATTTCCGCTGCAACCTGATGTATGTGATGTGTATTTGCTTAATCACGCGATCTTGGTTGTGATGTTGATTTACCGAGGTCTTTCGGGACACTCGGCGGACTACCGGGTTTATATGAGTGAAAGTATGGGTGTGTCAACGTGTTAGCGGGGACAACCGTACTTGATCTTGTATAAATTGGGCGGTTCTGTCACACTCCTCCTTGGCCACCACCTTAGGAGCCAAGTATGGGCGTCCAAGCCAAGTTGAAGGCCCAATCCAAGTCAAGTTCGAGTCCACCTCTGGCTTTAGGAGCAACATGTAGTAAAACGGACGCCCAGGTCGCATACGGACTCCGTTTTCGATGATCCACGTATGGATGGAAAGATAATTTGATAAGGAAACCAATAGAAGTGGTCCCACATAAAAATCCCATCAGAATCAATGGAAATCGTCGAAACAAGTTGACGTCCAGAATCTGTTAGGCGCTGCATCGCCGTCTTTTGGAACATTTGGGCCTTGTAACATGTCGGGAGTCCTTAGGATGCGAGTAGGGGTCCTTGGACGTCCCTTAGGCTATATAATCAGTAGTTGTCGCCTACGTTAGGGTTTGGGTTTTGCTTAAATCATTCTGTCCATTGACAGTCACCGTTCATTGACTTGTGAGACCCTTAATCATACATCTACAGTTGTCCCATACTTTGAGCTGCGTATTTTCAAGTTCTTACTTGTGTTATTCATTTTGCAGGCAGGGATTATCCTTCTTGGCGAGGTCAACCGGATTGGTGACACGGTTGATAACCAGAGGAGTTGTGGTGGTAAGATTGCAGGATTTGGGTATTTCGATCTGAAGCCGGATCGGTGTGTCGTGCTCCATCAAAACGATAGTTATCATCAACCTGATGGAAGATCGGGAATCACGTCCCCATCAGGGAGGAGCAAAATATGGATTCGAAAGAAAAAGATATGAGATGATCAGAATTTTAGGTTTACATAGAATAGGAACTAAACAATTTGTAAAGACTTGATAGCACTTTTTTCGAGAAATGGAGGAGCTCATCAATAGAAAACTAAAGACTTCCTTAATTTGGACTTAATATAAGTTGAACACGACACAGGCTATAAACGGGGGAAGAAAAAGAATGGTGTGATGACAATAAGATTGGTCAATGATAACTAGTTGCAAAGCTACTCCGTATGTCCAAAAGGTATTTTCAACTGAAAATCAATTTAATTTATTGAAAAAAGGGTAAACTATCCCCGCTACTTGCGGGCTAGTTATATTTATATTGGAAAAAAGTGTAAAATCTAAAAGAAAAAGAATGTACATATTCTAAACTAAAAAAATGGTACATGAATATACATCTACAATATTGTCTATTGCAGAGAGCGCAGAAATTGGTGCTGTTCTCCGGCTGGCGATGGTGCCTTCGAGACGAGAAAGCGATGGTAACGCTAGCTGATACCCTGTTCCAAGTCGACTCCTTCGCTACCACCCGCACCGGCACAGGAGCCCGAAGAAGTCGCCCCCGCCCCTTGCCTTCCGAAGCTCCACAGCCTCGTGATCGATCTGAGCCTCGCCGATCCCGGTGACTTGGCAGGGTCGCGCGGGGTGAGCGTCGGCGTCGGCACGGCCAACTCTGGGATCTCGATAGCCATGGCGGCCGTGGAGCCAGTGCCAGAGCCAGCGGTGACCGCACCATGCTCAGACACGCCGAGAAGCACGCTGGCGGGCAGGTTGGCGGTGGCGTAGTTGGCGGGCTCCGGCGGTACGGGTGGAAGAGCCAAGGAAGACACCGGATGAGGAGATACAGATACGTCGTCGGGCTTGGAGACGGTGAGCCGGCAGAGCGGGCAGGTGGCGTGGGACGCGAGCCACATGTCGACGCACTCGGCGTGGAAGCCGTGCCCGCAGCGGGGCAGGAACCGGGCCGCCTCGCCGTCCTGGAGCTCGGCGAGGCACACGGCGCACTCCACCGCGTCCTGCTGGTGCCGCCCCTTGTCCGAACCGTGGCTGTACACCGTGACAGGCAGCGAGCGCAGCAGCTCCGGGTCGACGCCCCTGCTGGTCCGCACCCCACCACCGCTGCTGCCACCGGCCGTCGCCCGCGGACCACGGCGCCGCCGGCGGCGGCGGCTTTCCCTGTCCCAGGCGTTAATGCAGCACTGGAGGGCGATGGTGCCGAACGCGAAGAAGACGAAGAACAGGAGGATGCCCGCCACGGTGAGGATGCTGGCGAGCGTCATGGCGCCCGCCGCCCCTGCTGCCGTGGGCGCCGGGGGCGTGCCAGGGCCGGCCCCTGCTTGCTCGGAGTCTTGCGTCATCTGTCGGTGGAACGCGAAGCGCCGAAGCCCCAGTTGTTGGCGTCGCCGGCAACGGCAAGCGTTGGTGTGCCGTGTGGATCGGAGGTGGAACGAGCACTCGGGAGTCGAGAGCTCGCGCGCAGATATATATGCCGTGCCGTGACGACGGAGGAGGGCGAGGATCGGAGAAGATGTCGAGAAATTGTCGCGCGCTTGCACCTGCCCTCCTGCGTCTGTGTCTGCGGCTGCGGCCAAGCGAGACCGGTGGTAGCGCACCTGGCCAGGCGAGACCGGCTGGCCTGCCGGAGTGCCGGTCAATGGCGGCGGTGGGCATCTTTGATTCCACGAACGCGCGCTTGCACTTGGATGGATCCTTGCGTAGGATTATTTCCTTTAGAAACGTGCGTGCGCTGTGGAGTGATTTTGATTGGTCCGTCAGTTTCACCACGTGAGTGCGAGTAGGGCGAGCGAGGTCATGTTGTTGTCTTCTTGACGCTCCAGCGATGCCCGTGTTTATCTCAGACCCCCAGAGTAACGACTTTTGACCATGTCACTTGTGGACAGTCCGAAGCACAATCTTTTTACTGTCAAAAACATGGTGCCAGTTATAGTCAACGTGTATTCCCTCGCCCTCACGGCTCATGCGCGCTGTCAAAAAAGAGAGAAGAGGGTAGATTCGCGTGCAAAAATTAAAAGATGGTTGCATCTTGTCTCTTTCTAATAAAACTCAGGCTCATGTCACATCGAATGATCGGATGCTAACTAGAAGGATTAAATATGAACTAGTTATAAAACTAATTGCATATGAGTAGACCAATTAGCGAGACGAATCTATTAACCCTAATTAATCCATAATTAGCAAATATTTACTATAGCACCACATTATCAAACCATGGACTAATTAGATTTAATAGATTCGTCTCGTAAATTAACATTAATCTATGTAATTAATTTTGTAATTAGCTTATGTTTAATACTCCTAATTGATATTACAGATTCAATGTGACGGGACTAGACTTTTATCGAAAGGAACACAGACTCAATAGTTGTCGCTTCAGTTCCACAGAGAATATGCATGGAAGGCGACGTGACCAAGTTGAATTTTTCAATTGCCGTGTTATATAAACAGTGTGTGAAGTGATGCGGTTCGTTATATATTCTCCTCGCAATTAATCAAACGGACTTGCTAGCGGACATCCGATTTGGTGTGCTCAGCAGCGTCGGACTTGCGAGCAGCACCCCAGCAGCGGATCCACGCTGCCCCGGACGTCGGCTGCGCCGCCAGACTGTGCGCGGGGACTGCCCGTGACCCTTCCGCTTTTCCATGCGTATCCCATGTGCAACGTCGATTTACTTTTGAAATATTCAGATGCAATATTTACGACGTATAAAAGAAGACAGATGAAACATTGAAATATGCGCTAAAACATTTGAAAACCATTGCAAACATACGCAACACCGAGATAAAACACTTACAACATATGTGTGAAATATATGCAACATCCAGATATCCACTTGCAACAAACATCTAAAAAAACATATGAAACATTGTGAACAGACGTTTGCAATATACGTGTACAACCATTGTAATACATGCAACATCCCGATCTACTTTTGCAATATAAATATGGAATACTTGAAACATACGTCTAAAACAACTGAAATATTTGAAAACATATGCTTGCAACGTGTCTGAAAACGCCTAGAACACTTAAAAACAGCGTCATCGGCAACCACGATATATCTGGTGAGGAACTGCGGTGGTGCATGACTCCGTTCCTGCCGACGACACGAGATGGATGGGGGCACACGTGCAGGTGCAGGCGCAGACCTCTCCAGGTGCACGCGCAGGCCTCTCCGGCCTCCCCTTCCGTGACAAGCGAAGGTGGATGGGGGCGCGGAGCTAGATGGTGGCGCGGCGCGGGCGCATGGAGCAGCGTGGGATGGGCCAGATGGAGCGTTGCAACGCTGGAGAACGCCACGGCGGGCGGCTCTGCGATGGAGATGGCGAGCAACGCTGTTTTTAGAAGTCGTGAAGAAGTGCGCTGAGCGGAGTGGGGCGAGCGGCTTTCGTGCAGACGGACGTCCGCTTCCCAGCATTACCATTAATTAAATGGACAACGATAAGCCGCGACAAGTCGCGCATTTAGAAAACGTGCGACCCGTCTTCTCCGCCATGCCTCCCCTCCCCCGTCTTCTTCTCCCTCCCTGCGCCCCTCCCCCGCCCCTACCACCGGCAGCCAGCGGCTCCCGCCACCTTACTGCACCACCCACCGTCTGCCCCCACCCCTCGACCCTGCCCTCCAATAACCAGAGGGACCGTGGCGAGTGGCGACGAGGGAGGGCGAGGATCGGAGAAGACGCCGAGAAGTTGTCGTGCGCTTGCACTGCGTCTGCGTGTGGTGCGGCCAAGAATTGTTTTCCGGTGGTAGCGCACCTGGCCAGGCGAGACCGGCTACGGCCTGCCGGTGATTTTGATTGGTCTGTCAGTCTCACCACGTGGGTGAGAGCGAGCGAGGTCGTGTTGTTTGTCTTGTTGATGCTCCAGCGGTCGCCGATGCTTATCTCAGATCCAGAGCAACGACTTTTGACCATGTCAAAACTTGTGGACAGTCCGTAGCAAAATCTTTTTTACCGTCAAAAGTTGTAGTCAAAAGCATGGATCCAGAGTGTCACTAATGCGGTGATGGATTTTCTGAATGGTGGACAGTTACCTGAAGGTATCAATCAGACAACTATTGTGCTCATTCCCAAGATAAGAAACCCCCAGGATCTAAAGAATTTTAGACCAATTTCGTTATGCAATGTCATCTACAAGATTTGCTCTAAAGTTCTCGCTAATAGACTCTGGGTTTTCTTGGATGAGATTATCTCTGAAGAACAAAGCACTTTCGTTCCGGGTCGGCTGATCACGAACAATGTACTAGTTGCATGAGTGTACGCACTATCTGAAGAGGAAGAAAGGGAAATCCGGGGCGTATGCAATTAAATTGGATATGGAGAAGGCATACGACCGGGTTGAATGGAACTATTTGAAAGGGATTATGCTTCGGTTGGGTTTTGCAGATGAGTTTGTGAATCCCGTAATGAGGTGTGTGACTTCGGTGAGCTTCTCAGTACGGGTGAACGGAAATCTCTCAAACCCATTCCGACCAACTAGTGGAATTCGTCAAGGCGACCCAATTTCCCCATATTTATTCCTTCTCTGCTCAGAAGGGTCATGTTGCCTGTTGAAGTCAGTTGGGCCTCTATTTCTCTCAAGAGGAGTTAGAGTTGGAATCCACGCCCCCTGGATTTCACATCTCCTCTTCGCGGACGACTGTATTGTATTTTCGGAAGCGTCGCAAAGAGGGGCTGAACGGCTTCAAGATATATTGGAGATTTATAGTAGAGGATCGGGGCAGCTAGTGAACAAGGACAAATCGGCTGTTTTCTTTAGCTCTAATTGTGACACTGATGCTAAGGAAGTTGTGCGAAATGACCTACAGATTGAGACTGAAGCATTGGCGGAAAAGTACCTGGGCCTTCCGACGGCACTAGGGCGATCATCGAAGGAGACTTTTGAGCATATGCCGAACAAAATCAGAGGCCTAGTTGGGGCTTGGAGCGGGCGTGAAGCTGCTAAGCTGGGAGGGAAGTCTTGCTAAAGTCAGTTGCACAAGCAGTGCCAACCTACCCAATGAGCTGTTTTCTTATCCCAAAAGATACCTGCCGGAAAATGAAGACGGTCATCTCGAACTACTGGTGGGGTAGCTCGGCTGATAATCGACATATGCATTGGCAGCGATGGGAGCTGTTGGCAAGGCCTAAGGTGCAAGGAGGCATCGGCTTTCGTGATCTCAGATTGTTCAACCTGGCCATACTGGGGAAACAAGGGTGGCGATTAATCGAGAACCCAGACTCCTTGCGTGCAAGAGTTCTTAAAGGAAGATACTTCCATGACTCTACCTTCCTGACGGCTTCACGGAAGAAGCATGCCAGTCATACATGGCGTGCAATCCTTGAAGGGAGGGAGGTGCTGAAAAAAAGGATTAATAAGTAGAATTGGTGATGGAAGCACTACGAATATCTGGAGAGATCGTTGGTTGCCAAATCATTTTGCTGGGCCACCACTCTCTGTACCGGATAATCCACAAGTCCATACTGTGGATGATTTGTTGACGCCGAGCGGGGTCTGGAATGAGGAGCTGATCAAAGAGACCTTCATCAATGTTGATGTACAGTCTATCCTGCGTACGCCGATCAGGGCTGACTCCTGGGCTTGGGAACCAGAGCGCCATGGTATGTACACGGTTCGCTCAACGTATCGTATATTATATGATGATCAGAATCAGCAACACTCTGATGGAAGGGCCTCATCATCTGATGACAAAACGTGGAAGCGGATTTGGGGCCTTTGTGTGCCGCCCAAAGTCCGAGTTTTCTGGTGGAGAGTAGTGAATGGCTTCTTGCCGGCCAAAGAAGTGTTATTTCGGAGACATATTGAGCACACTCCGAATTGAGATGTATGTGGAGCTGACGAAGAAACAATCAGACATGTTTTGATGGACTGCACAGTAGCTAAGTTCTTTTGGGCTGAAGTGAGAAGACTGACTGCAGTTAAACTGCAGGTACTGCATCCCCTAACCTGGGCACATGATTTGATTCACCCGGCTTTGTTCCCACCAAAAGATGCAGCTATCATCTTGTGTGGCATGTGGTCGCTATGGATGGGAAGAAACAAACGCAGACATGGCGAAGCAGCTGTTCCAGTGCGGGTGGCAGTGAAGTGGGTGATCGATACGGCTTTTGATTTGTGGAGCTTCAGCCACCCACCAGGAGTAGAGAGAACTGTGGTGCAGGATCGCCATCACTGGCAGAGGCCGGCTCCTGGTTTCATCAAGTGCAATGTGGATGCTTCTTTCTTTGAAGGAAATTGTACTGGAGCGACGGGGGCAGTTCTC